AAATCATCTTGTTCCACTTCCCTGCCATTGGCAGAGACACCTTCCACTAGACCAGGTTGTTCCAAACCCCATCCAACCTGGCCTTGAACACTTTCAGGGATGGGGTAGCCACAGCTTCTCTGGGCAAATGAAGGAGGTGATGATGAAACTTAGCTCTGATGTTACTTTTCATAGTAACCAGTTGACCTGCTTACCCTACCAAACCAAAAACACACAACCAACTGAAAATCATAGTCCCTCTTCAACGCTCTGTGGCCTAGTCTGCCAAGAAAACCAGCACTACTGCAAGAACACTACAAATTTTCAGTTAAAATGGCCAGAGTTCAGTATTTCATCGCTAACAATCTGGTGCATGTGTTGACAGAGGCAGTGGGAGTGTGTGAACGCACAGGTTCACCCTCTGCCTCCACAGTGATCCCTGTGGTAATTCCATCTGTGTTTCAGCACAGACAGCGCCTGGCCACAGCCATCTCTTCCAGGTTTCTCTATCTATTCACTGGCAAGGACAAAGCTGGTAGAAACTAGACTCAGTAAATGGCTTCAATTTTGTGGCCAGAGGTTGCCAGGACAAGGAAGAGAAAACTGCCAACTATGTCTCCTGTGAACAGTCTGGATCTTTTAACAAGGACATGGGAGCTGAAAATGGAAAACCGAGAGAGAGGGAAATGAACCTTCTCCTCTTCCCAGCCACAAAGATCACTCCAGAGAATCCCAGAATCACTGAGGCTGGAAAAGACCTCTGAGACCATCAAGTCCAACCTGTAACTGATCCCCACCTTGTCACCCAGACCAGAGCACTGAGTGCCACGTCCAGTCGTTCCTTGAACACTTCCAGGGATGGGGACTCCACCATCTCCCTGGGCAGCCCATTCCAAAGCCTGACAGCACTTTCTGTGAAGAACTCCTCATGACCAGGGATGTTGTATCTCAACATGCAAAAGCCCATGACACTGCATGAAACAGGGTTCAAGGAATATTCTGGAATGTTGGCTTTTTCTGCCTCTGTGGCAGCTGTTTCTGGGCACTGGAGATGGGCAGGATCAAACCAAGCCTGGTATCAGGCCAAAGCACAGACAGAGATAGAAATCTGGTCTCCACTGCCCAGGAAGGGAACAAACTCCATGTCCACAGAGGGGTAACACAGAACACACCTCACAGCAGTAATTGCATTTTCACAGGCTTAATGAAAATGAAAAGCTGGGGGAACAGGGACCCAAATGAGTGTCAGCCCGGAGGAAAGCACAGGCAGGATTCCACTGCTGGGTATTCCACATAGTGGGCACCAACCTGCCCACTACACACCCCTTCCAAGACCTTCTGGGTCATACAGGATCACAATGGTGAGTTTTCAGGGATAGCTCTGAGGAACAGAAAGGACTTGAGCACCAATGAAAACAGACTTCATTTTTTGGTACAACTTAATTTTGTCAGCCAGTTGCAATGACTATGAACTCTTTGTAGGCAGCTGTGGCAGTGGGTGACTTTTTCCCTGTGATATGAGAATTTCCATGGAAAGAGGTGCTGGTTTACAGACCTTGTGACTGTGGTGACAGGAGGGGGTGAAGAATGAGGGCTAAGAAAGGAGGAAACCTGCCAGGCAGTGGTGGCAAGCACTGAAAAAAGGACTGACCTCTGGTCTGGTCACCTGTGACAGAAAGTGTGATTCTGGTCTTTCACAAACTGAAATTGCAATTAAGTATCTCCATCTTCCCTAGTCTACTAAAGGAATGGTTTCAGGGGGATTGTAGCACAGGAAAATAAGATGAAAAATCATTGCTTTGATTGTTGGTTTTTTCCAAATAACTTTCTACATCATTTTTTTTCCTATTTCACCTGAAATGATCTTTCTCCCTAAGCTTTACAAGTTTGCTTCCCCCCACAGCCTAAGCATTTATCCCATCATGAGAACTGCATCTTCAAAGCAGTAGCAAACAGGTAAGATCTCTCCCTTCCTGTCTTCTACTGGCCTGAACTGTGCAAAGTGCCTAAAGCCTTCCTTGAGGGCATGGATATAGGGGGAGTTCACAAACCTCATCAATTTTGTACTAGAGATCTGATACAAGGAGAGGTTCACAGTTCTCCTCCCTGGGGGACAGCCTGCTTTATCTAAGACACCACAGTTAAATATGCTCACTGTGTGCTGTGATGTTGGGCAAAAATAGCCTGATAAAATAGATTAAATGCTCTGTTTTTCTTCTTCTCCCTGCTATAGTTCTCAAAACCATTAAACGCTGCGTGACCTCAACCCACAGCTTGTAAGCAGAACCAATGAACCCTCATTATTCCTTATAACTACCTGGTTTACCCCTTGCTCTGTGCCCTAAAACATCAATTGTGTGTCCCTTTGTGCCATCCTAAGAAACACATCACTGCCTCTACCTACAGATAAAGAGACCTCACACAGGGACTTTGAGCAGTGCTTTGCTCCTACAGCAGGATCAGCACAGCAACAAGGCAATTCCAGACAAGCTGGGAGACATCCTGGGTCAAAAGGTTTCACTCTCCTGCACCATGGATGCTCACAGTTTCCTTCAGTAATTTGTTAATTGGGAGGAATTTTCACTTGTGGCTGTCCCAAGTGAACCCCGGACTGGATTCTCTGAGTGCCTTGTGTTGCTGAGGGACTGGTTTTTTTCCTTTGAGGTCGCTGGCTCCCAGCCCTTCAGCGGGAAGGAGCCACCCCAGGACAGCAGGAAATTCGCGCAGAAAACATCCACTTTCTGCGAGGGTCCCAAGAGAGGGACCATCCCTCTGCCTTCCGCTGCTGGTTTCCTAATGAGGCTAAAAATCCATTAATTACGTCTCTGCCTCGCGGGGCGACAGCAGAGGAGTAACCGGGAGGCACCGGGACAGGGATGGGGATCGGGATGGGGATGGGGACCAGGACCGCGGCCGCCGGGTGCCCTCTGCCGGGACGCCGCGCCGCTTCTCCCGGTCCCTGCCCATGCCCGGTCAGCAGCCGCCTGCTGGGACCAGTGAGAGAACCCGAGGGAACAGCTGGAGCTGTGTCAGGGCAGGGTTAGGTTGGATATTAGGAAAAGGTTCTTCCCCCAGAGGGTGGTCAGGCGCTGAACAGGCTCCCCAGGGCAGTGGTCACGGCCCCAAGGCTGCCAGAGTTCAAGGAGTGTTTGGACAACGCTCTCAGGGACAGGGTGGGATTGCTGGGGTGTCTGTGCAGGGCCAGGAGCTGCACTGATGATCCTTATGGGTCCCGTCCAACTTCCAACTTCTGTGGTCCCCCTGCAGTCCCCTGCCTCCAGGAGTAGCCAGGGCCATAAAAGCTACTGAATTAGGAGGTGCGGGGTCCTGCGGGATCTCTGTCCTATAAAAAGCATTCCCAGGCTGGTTGGAGAAGTCTCCAGAGTGTCCTGTCAATGCTGTCACGTGTGCAGCATCAGCACAGGGCTCAAACAAGCACCCCTGTGGGTCCCACTGGGGCAGGGCACTTCCATTAATTCCATGAATGCATTCCTGCTCGGGGTTATCTCCCCGTGCAAAGGCAGCGCCTGCCCCAGCGCGATGCCAGCGGGTTCTGTGCTGGTGTGAGCTGGTCACAAGCGCTGGGGAGGAAGGACTGCTGGCAGCTGTCAGGCAGGAATGTGATTCCAGGGATGCTTCTGAGTGCCTGGGTGAGTCATGGGGGTTTCGTACCCGACTTGAGATAGCAGAGGGACAAATTCTCCGCTGCAGCAGGAGCTCGTGTGTCTCCCCAAAACACAGTGGTCACATGAGGTGCTGCTGTCAGCACAGAGTGTGGGCTCTGTACATGCTGCCAATTTGTCCCTCTTCTCAAAACTTCCCTGTGAGGGTGGTGAGCCTCTGGCATAGGTTGCTCAGAGAAGTGTGGCTGCCCCATCCCTGGAAGTGTCCAAGGCCAGGTTGGGTGGGGCTTGGAGCAACCTGGGCTAGTGGAAGGTATCCCTGAACACTGCAGGGAAGTGGAATGAGATGGTCTTCAAGGTCCCTTCCAACCCAATCCACTCCTTAATTCCATGATTCTGAGAACTCACACCTCTTCCCAGAGCTGCTTAGTTTTAATCAGGGAGAGGACAAGATGCTGCACGTAAAATGTTGCTCATTCACTAGTCTACAAAAAGACAGGAGAGGCTGCACCTGTGCAGGGCATCTCCATGGAGGATGGATCTTTACATTCATGCACAGCTTGTCCTCCTGCATTAGGATGGGAATATCCTAATGAGCTCAATTATTCTGTACAGTGTGATTAGGACTTCTGTGGTCCTTGCTGGTCCCTTCCAGCTCAGGATATTCCATGATTCTGTTATTCTCATGTGTTGCATTTCACAGGTGCAATCACAGTGATAAATGACAGTGATGGCTCAGCACACACAACCCTTGCCCAGGGCAATCCCCTCTCCAGGACTGGTGTCCAGAAGGCCTCTGATGCTTCCCTTCTTTTGTGTGGCAAATGAAACTCTGGTCACAACGGAAATACAGGATAATCCCACAAAAACTGATACTTTTTTCTGAATTTACACAAGTGCTGCACTCACTACGGCACAGAATCCACAATGGAGTCACAACTCGGCTGGAAACCCACTGCCATATCCCGATATCCTGGCTGATAACCCTCTGGGACAGGGGATCCCTGACCCTCCAGCTGCACATATGGAGCATCTGTGCGATGCTGAGGTGCACCCGTGCCCTCTGGCTGGCTGACCGTTCCCCAGAAGGACACGAGGAACAGACCCTGCGTGCCCAACACCCTGTGACCGCCCTGGCCGGGTTATCCCGGCATCCCCATCCCCGCCGTTCCCGCACAGCCGCCGGTGCAGCCCACAATTCCCATGATGCCTCGCAACAACAAAACCGCGCCCGCCCTCGGCCCAGCGGGGCGCGCCGCGGTGCACGCCGGGATTTGTAGTTCTTTACCGCCGCTCGGCCGCCCACGATCCGTAACGCGCCTCCCGTGGAGGACTCGCCTCCCCGTGACGCTCCTCGCCGCGGTGACGCGCGCAAGGCGCGCCGGTGGCGCGGGGCGCGGGCCATGTCGGAGAGCGGCGGCGGCGGCGGGGCCGCCCCGGGCGGGGGCGGCGGGGGCGGCGCGGGGGCCGCGGGGCCCGGACCCACCGACCCGGCCTCGCTGCCTCCCGGCGACCCGCAGCTCATCGCCATCATCGTGGAGCAGCTCAAGAGCCGCGGCCTCTTCGACGGCTTCCGCCGGGACTGCCTGGCCGACGTGGACACCAAGGTACGGCCGGGCCGGGGACCCCCCGCACCCCGCGGGTCCCGCACTCGGGGGCTGCTCTCTCTGCCCGCGGTGTTTCGTGGCCCCGCTGTGACCCCCACCCGTGGCTGTTCCCGAGGAGATCCCGGCTTGGAGCGATATCCACACCCCAGGGGAGGAACAGGCCCGAGAACAGGCTCAGCCTTTCATGTCCCAGCCCAGGCCTTATTAGGAAAAGAGTTTCCCATAAGAACAGTGCTACTTTTTAGCCTCTTCCTGTATTTCCAGCACTCATTCCTGTATTTCCAGTTTTCAAACCCAGACACCTAAACCTTTCTCTAATGAGAATCAGACTGTTCTATTTCTCAGACACTAATTCTCTGGCATTAATTTCTTCTCAGCCACCACGTGAACCCCTGAGCATTTGTTGTCTGCATGAAGTTGGGTAGTTCGCAGTTGCCCTGTCAAAATTCAGCACTTGTTGGATTTTGCTTTCCCCAAACTTTTTACTCTTTCAGCAAGAGCCCTGTCCTGGGAGCTGCAGGCGTCATCCAGGCCCAGCAACAAACCACTCCTGGAGCTGTCAGGTCACCTGCACAGAGCAGCTTTGTCAGTGCTACCCAGGACAGACACCGCACCTCTGTCACCAGCCCATCATCCCATATGCACGTCAGACCCTGAAATATAAATGTCACCCTTTTGTCCTTTCCTTACATCCAGGATGTGGACGGTCCTGTGTATTTATACGGGTTTCTTAGTTAAATTCCTGTTAAGTGCAATTAAGTTCCCTCAGATAAAACTCAAGTAATTATCTCCTTATTCTTATATGTTCTTAACTTCTCTGTTAGTGCCACAGAGGCAAATTATTCAAGTTCTTTGTTAGTGAAATTGCTCAGCCAGTTTCCGAGGAATTCTGGGACGGAGGGTTTGCAGACAACAAGAACTTTACTTAAACAACTCCTGTCTGCACAGTTTTCATTTCACTAAGTAATACCATGAGCAGACAACAATTTAAAAACCAATCTGTCCAGATATTTGAATTATTGTAACAACACCCTGAGTGTTCTGTGCCAGTTGTGTTCTCAGGCAAAACAAGATTCTCTTTGTTCGGAGAGTGAAAGGAGGGAGAATACAGACAACAGAGCAGTCTGTATGTGACAGCAGATGAATTGTGAAGGGCCCTGGCAGGACACTGCTTTGAGGTATTTTAGCTGTTCAACTGGATTTATTTTGATTTTTTTTTTTTTTAGCCAGCCTATCAAAATTTGAGGCAGAAAGTCGACAACTTTGTATCGACCCACCTGGACAAACAGGAATGGAACCCAGCCATGAACAAAAACCAGCTACGGAACGGGCTCAGGCAGAGCGTGATTCAGTAAGTGAGCACAGTCTGTAAAATGGCACTGAAGCTGCTGGATAAGTAACACATCCCCTAAGCCAAGTAAGAGTTTGCAGAATTAAGCTTTTCACAAGACTTTCTGCCGTGCTCTTCTGAGTTTCATTATAATAGGGGATGCAATCTCAAAATGCACATTATTACTTTATCTGAAATTGGTATTTTTGATTGGTGAAGTGTTTGTATTTGCTGTCCTGCCAAACTGTTGCTGCAAATAGCCAATGCTGTACCTGATGTGCTGAGCTGAATAACCTTGATCTTTATCTTCAGGAAAGGGAAGAGGCTTTAAAGAAAGAATCCTGAAGATGCCAAAGCTTGTGTGTGTAGACTTCAACCACTGTCAGGCAACAATCACCTCATCTCTTGCAGCAGAGAGAAGCTTTTGTTCAGCTATTTTAAGATACCACATTGAGTGCCACCAAGATGATCAGCCTTTCCTCCTATGAGGAAAGGCTGAGAGAATTGGGATTGTTCAGCCTGGAAAAGAGAAGGCTCTGGGGTGACCTAATGGTGGCCTTCCAGTACCTGAAGGGAGCCTGCAAGAAAGATGGAGAGAGACTTTGTACAAGTCTCTCTTGTACAACAAGGGTTGTACAACAAGGGTTCGGAGTGACAGGACAAGGGGGAATGTCTTCAAACTGACAGAGAGTACATTTAGATTGGATATTAGGAAGAAATTCTTTACTGTGAGGATGGTGAGGCCCTGGCACAGGTTGCCCAGAGAAGCTGTGGCTGCCCCATCCCTGGAAGTGTTCAAGGCCAGGTTGGACAGGGCTTGGAGCAACCTGGGATAGTGGAAGGTGTGGAGCTGGATGATCTTTAAGGTCCCTTCCAACACAAACCATTCTGGGACTCTATGATTCATTTCCAGCATGAAATCAGAGAAAGCCAGATTAAACTGCTGCTGAAAGAATTAGGTTTAGTATCTCTTGCTGCTGCCTCCTGGCAGTCTGAAATATGAACCTTGGCTTATTAGAAGGAGAAAACCTTTATGGTAAAAGGTATGGGGAGAGAGGCAGTTGAGAACTCGATCATGGCACTTTTGCTTCTAAGGAAAACTAACAGAATGCCTGGGACACAGAACAAACTGTTTCAAGAGCACCTCCTAGAACCTGTAAATCACAAGTATGTCACATTAGTCTGTTTAATCTGTAACTAGAGAAGGGATGTTCTCCAATAGAAGTACAGAATTTCCTGTCATTACTCAGAGTCCTTGAGATACGTTTGTCTCAATGCTCGCTCTTATTTCATGTTACTGTACCACAAGAATTAAGTGGATAGTTGAAGAATGTTACATCAGAGAGCCTGTGGTGAGTGTAAAGTGCTCTTAAGCAGGCCATTAGTGTGAAGAGTATACCCAGTACTGGGGAGTTTGAGGGGTCCCTGTCACTCCTGGAGTTGCAAGACTGAGCTCTGAGGGAGTCCAGATATGTTTCATGCAGGTACAGCTGTGCTGTCACCTGGAGGTGACACGATGTGCCCTGACCCTGCACCCTCTCACTCACCAGCATTCATGGCCTTAATAGTCCTGTGGCTCCTTTTCCCAGTGCCAGGCAACGTCTCCGTTTCCTGTCCCCTGCTCCCTTGCAGACATGACTTAAGCCTTCTAGACAGCCTGTGCCCCACAATCCAAGAGTCTGACGCAGCCCCTGAAGTAATAAGTCACCTCAATTACTAGTGTTCAGTCCAGAAACTTTGCTGTGTGCTCAGTGTCTTGTTTTTATAATTAATACCCATCTGTCTAGACTAACAGTTACAAGGAGCGAGTGACAGTCCTGTTATTAGGGGGCAGGGCTCTTCTCCCTCTGGTCAGCCAAAGAAAAGACTGTGCTCTCACCTGCCCTCCTCCTCAGAATAGCTTGTTTCTCTTGTTTGTGCCAAAATGTGTTTGTTTGCTTTCATGTTGACCTCATTTCCACATGAGCCCTATTAAAAGTGGCTCTTGTCCAACGTGTCATTTAAGTACCTGGGAGACCAGATGCGAGTTGTTAATTCTGTAGGGAGCAGTGAGAGGGGGTGAGGGGAAATAGGTGATTGAAACAACTCCCTGTTAAGGATCTACTGAGTAGGCTGCAGTTCTCACCATGTTAATGCTAATTGCAGTTGACAGGAGGGCTCTGGAGAATTACTGGAGGAGATCGGGGAGAAGTTTTTTGGAGGAGCTGAATGACTTCTTTGTCTTTGTTCAAGGTCAGGAATGCTGGAAGCTGGAGTGGACAGAATTATTTCTCAGGTGGTGGATCCAAAACTAAACCACATCTTCAGGCCCCAGATAGAGAGGGCGATTCATGAATTTTTGGCTGCACAAAAGAAAGAGGAAAGTGTGCCAGCTCCTCCTCCAGAGCCTGAGAATAAGGATCCTCCTGCTCCATCTCAGGATGCCTCCTAAAGGTCTCGTATCTCTGCACTTACTGCTTATGTTTTTCATGTACCTCATCTCTATATAATGCAAGATAGAGGAGACATTGGTTCTCCCTGGCTTGGCAGGGAGGACACTTTGATCAGCAGCGTGTTGTCAATGTCACACAGTCATCTGAGCTGCTCCCACTGAAGTGTCTGCTAAAAATACACTGGGACTGAAGACATAGGTATGATGTAAAACAGCTATCAAGGAACACTGTAGACTCTGCCAGTGCTGATTTTAGAGCAGGCCAAAAGGCCTTTTATTCCAGTAAAGCACATCCAAAAGAAAAAAAAGCATATCCAGCAGCGATTGACTTGGAATTGGCTCGTTAGCCTTCAGAACTGTATCAAATGGATTAAAAATATATATCCTTTACTGAAACACAGCCAAAAGTAGAGTGGTGACAAGTTATTGTGCTTTAGCATTGAAAGGTTTAGATATCTCTTCTTTGGAACATACACTGGAGTGCTGAATTGTTAGTGACCGAAATAGTCCCCAGTCGAGTAAGGGTAACATCTCTGGGGGTGAATAAGTTCATTCCAAATTAACTGGTTTAAATAGAGCAACCTGTCTCTTTCCAGCTGAAAGGACTGAGGGTGCCTTTGTTGCAAACAAGTTCATTCTGGCTTTTGTGATTAAAATAACTCCAGGGACCATAATTGCTACTCTGTCTTAGCACAAATGACTATGTGCCCATCTTTGCTAAGGCCCTGGATCTAAATGTTGGTTTTAATATTGAGGCCCATGTGCACACTACTGAGGAACCACTATCTTGATGGGAAATTCCAATCTGCAGCTTTGCTGGGGAACCTAAAGCCATACTGCATGAAAGGAAGTTAATTGTCAATTGTTCCATCTGCCAGGCTTTCTGAAAGCAAAAATATTCTTTCTCATCTACAGCTGATTTATTAAGAAGGAACAAGTAACCTACAATAGCTGTTCCAATGCTTGGAATTACTAGAGCAACTAGCATGGGGTTTGGCTCAACAGTGTAAGTTTTAAGTGCCTGTACTGTCATCCTGAGTTTTTTACCTTTGACTTGCAGCTTTAAGGCCTGAGATCTTTACATTTATGTGGTTCAGGTAGTTTAAAAGTCCATTATAACCCTCAGCAAAGTGCAGCTGTTAATGTATTCTAGTCTGTCCAGATGCAATGACTTGTACCTGTACGTCCTCTAAACTCTCTTTTTTTTTCTTGCAGGGAGTTCTGATACTGAGCAGCTGCAGTTGCAACACGCCTGGTTAGATTGGCAATGGATTGCTGTTCCCTTTGGTGCAGGACTGCTGTCTGCCAAAGATGAACAACCTTTATCAGACCTGTGGGAAGGCATTGAAATGGTGAAATTCAGGTGCACCTGGAGTTCTGTGTGCAGAGGCACAGCCAGAGTGTGAAGATATTTTTTGCTGTGAACTGCAGAGAGCAGCATGTATTCATTAGTCATGGGGGTGGGAAGGAAAAGGGAGTTGGCTGTTGTCTGGAGGGGGTAGGGAAGTGGTTTGAGATGATACTAATAGCATGAAGAAAGGAAAGAGGTTTTGGGGTGGGATATTCAAGTAAGAGCTGTCAGATGTCCTTGGATACAAGCCAGATGAGAGGAAGCATCTTGCACCTCGGCTGCACAACACAGCATTGAGTAGTAGATGCCAAGTCAGGTGTAACTGCCTGCTTTAGGAAGGACATTTCCTGTTTAAAACTGGAAATAAAGCTTCAGGATCAATTATCTAGATAACCTCTGTTGCATCACAGGAACACGTTTACAGTTGGCTATGCCTATAGCTGATTTAACTCTTATTTCCTAAGTAGCTCTGGGAAGCAAAGGGCAGCAGAGCAGATGATCAGCTTAAAGACTTCTCTTTCCTGTGGAATTTCTCAGGTGCCTGGTGGAAACTGTCCTATGCTTTCAGCCTGAATGCATGCAGTGTCCTCTGGATGACAGTCAAATAGAGAATGTGATCAACTATTCTGCCAGCAAATGTCCACACCTTTTTGCAATAAAATATTTCAAAAAGCATCTCTGAGCCCTGGCTTTTTTAGATTTTTTTTTTTCTTAAGGAAAAACTACTTAAAGAAATCCCAGAGTCCCGATTGCTGGAAACCTGGTGAAAGTGTGACCTTACACAGCTCATGGGTTAATCCAGGTTTAACAATGTGGGCCTGTTTCATATCATGAAATTAGATGGTTATTAGTATTCCTCTCCATATAAGATGACTTTAAAAAAAATCTAAAATATCATGAAGACTGAATGAGTAAAGGACTCTCTCCTGAATGTTGGTTTGGTGGTTAAAGACTGCTCTCCAAATCAGTAGTAGATGTTTTTCCTTAGAGCCTTAAGGGCAGCTCTTGGCAGAAAAAGATCTCTTACCTCCTTGGTAGGGTGTCTCGACCACTTCTTTGAAACTGAGCCATTTATTTGAGGGGAAAAATGGTTCAAGACTCTAGAAAGAGCAAATGAAAAGGATTCTGACTGTGCTTAGGCAAATTCTGTATTACAACAGCAGTAGCCAGGGAGCAAGGACACCAGTTCAGTTTCTAAAAGTAGCAACTAGAACTGGATTTACTGCAGCGAGGGGGGAATCAGAACCTGCATTTCCTACCTGACGAGTGCTTTAGCAGATGAGTGAAGGAGAACAGACTGAGCCATTGTGGTTTTTGAAAGATTTCTCCATTGTTCTCTCTTGACTGTGGTGCTGTGTTAAACTGAGCACTGACACTGCTGTGCCTTTGGTGGGGCTCAGCCTGTCCACAGCTGCAGTGACTATGGGAACCTTCAGAGCAGAACTGAAGCACCTGATGAGTTCAGGCAGCCAATCCACATTTGGGATCATAGGCTTTAATGTTTGGGCTCTGAAGTCCTTGCTTTGGATCACAGCCTTGGAAGTAACAAGCTTTGGAAGTACACCTGACATAATGGGACAGTGACAAAACTTACGATGAAGAGATGGTAGAGGAAGAGCCCTTTGATGATAAGCATCTGTCCCTGGTGACTGATACAATCAGGATTCCAGCCTCAATAAATCAGTGATAGTATAGAAATCTCAACACCAGAACAAAAGAACAAGTTTGTACCCACTGCAGAAGTGAAACTGTTCCCGTAGCAGAATGTTGGACTAAAGTTAGTGTATGATTCAGTTTTTGCTGTGCTGGATGTGTTAAAGACAGTCTGAGGAGTTTGCTGAGGCAGAGGGGCCTAAGACACTTGAATTCAAGAAGCAGTTCTCACATTGTGCAGACATCTCAGTTCAAGCAGCACTTGCAGCACTGCAGAACTTTCCTTACTTTCACACCATCTATGTTCCCTTCTTTCCTATCAAACCCTGGACTGCAGCCTTACAACAGTTCTGGTGTCTGTTACTTTGACAGTGTCCCAAATGCTGTCATGTTAGAAAAACTGAGAGCAGAAATCTGCTGCCTTTCTCCCATTATTCCTGAAAAATGTAAATGTAATGCATATCACCAAACACACAAAGCAATTCAGGTTATTTTTACAAACATACGCATTTTAGTCCAAGATAAATTTAATTACAAGTACTGAGCAGGAGTTAAAATGATGAATAATATGTTTCTAACATTCTTGAAGTAAAACTGATTCTGTAAATTATTAATAGGAATTTTCTGATTTTTTTATTTTTTTCGTGCAATTCTTACGTAAAATAAATTGATGATTCCTGAGACACTGGCTATGTAACTGTTCTGTGATAACTCCAGAGATGCAGATAACAACCTGGAACAGGTTACCAACAGAGCAAGGCAGCCACCACAGCTCCTGATCATCTCAACAAGACCAGTTTCACCTGAGGATGGATTTTGGGCACGTGCATTCCTGAAGCCCTTTTGCAACTGCAGAGAAGGTTTATGACTGGGTCATTTGGTTCAGGTTCAATACCACAGCATTAATTTAACATAATCAGTTCAGGAGACATCTCACCATTGTGCTGCTGAGTGACATGGAAAGAGTAACTCAGTGTAAAGGCTTGAGCCAAGCCCTTCTCTGCCCTCATCAGCTGTTTTACTGACCAGTATCAAGTTCCTTGGCAAGTCAGACACTGACTCAAGCAGATTTCACCAAAAGAAGCAGAAACAAAACTGCCATTTCTATGTGATCTCTAAAGTCCCTTCCAACCCAAGCCATTTGATGATTCTGTGATTATATATTTAGCCAGTTCCTGGTTCAAACTCACAAGGGACTGGAGCAGTTTAACTCTTTCACAGATATTTTGTGGTTTATACTGTAGTGAAAAATATATTTTACCAGCTTTCTAAAAGAGAGCTCAGCTCAACAGCTCAGGAGCAATCACGGCCTCTCCTATGCACAACCACCAGCATTTACAAGCACAGGGACTCCCTATTCCCTTCCCTCCTTTTCACAGCGTGGCTGTTCGCAATTCGGCCGTAAGAGGGAGATAAACTATTACTGCATTTCTCCGTCCCCATGCCTCCGTGCAAATCCCAAGCAGATACAGAATTCCAAAGCCTTTGCTGACTCCTGAGTGAATCAACTCAGCAAGGTGTGGAGACAGCTTTCCCGAAGTGTTTCCACAAACTCTTGTCTAGTGCAAATCACACAGTAGATACTGTCATTTTCGAGAGGTTTCCAAGTAATAGGAAGCAAATATCAATTAGGATCAGGGGAAAAAAGCGAACAGCCCAAGTGATCAGGGAAAAAAAAATCAGATTTAAGATGTGAAACTATAAATCCTGACCAACCCAAATCTGTAACTCACTGATCTGGTCTAGGGTGAACAAGGTTGAAGCTAAAACAGTAACAGCAGTGCCTGCAGCTCCAGCTGCTTGTGCCATGAGATGGTATCAGTCATTGCTTCAGTTCCTGCATTTTTGTGATTCAGGTGCTGAGCCCACAGCAGTGCCGAGTCAGCCTCAGGAACATGACTGGGCAGTAACCAGCTCTTGTCTAGACACCATCGAAGCCACGGCACAGAGAAATGTGCTACCTCAGCCATCAGACTGGGAGCTGCTCCACCAAAAATTCCCTCCAGCACTGGGACAAGCCCAAGGAAAGGCACCACAGCAAAACGCAGCGAGTCCAACCCACCTGTCCAGGCTAAAGGAGTGCGAGGACCTCCTATTTCACTGATTTCATCTCGCTAACTCTCAAAAGAATTAGTGCCTTTTGCACTAATATCTTTATAACAGATCCCTTTTTCTAAGCAAATAGGTAAAATAAAATCCCCAAACCAGTTCAGGTCTTGGCCCTACAAAGAATTCACATAAGGACAGATGGCTGCAGTTTGCTTTGCAGAGCTGAGGCCCTTGGGAAGTCCAAGCAACTTCATACAGTAAAATGCATCCATTTTGGAAGGGATTTGTAACAGAAATAGAAAACCATTACCATGAGTTTCATATTTCATTGCAACTCTGCAAAAGGGAGATAAAATAATCCCGTTTCAGAGAACACTCATAAATTTCACATTTTCTACAAGGGGGCAGCACAACCGCAGCAAAAAAAAGAAAATCCAGCCGTAACTCTTCCCCCACAGCACTCCCTGTGAGACACCAAGGCATTAAATCACTCTTCTCTCTAGCTCCTCCTGCTAAGACTTAGTCCTCTAAGTAGTTATGTCCAACTTCTACCACCACAGCAAAACCAGGACTCCTTTGACCAAGACAACCAACCTCAGAGATCACCAACACCAGCCTGAGCTCCACACCTTCGCTCACTGGCTTCTCCAACCAGCAAAAAACAATGCTACAAACACAAGACCTTGCAAGAAGCACCCTACCAACACAAAACCTTTCAAGAAAACGTAAATAAAGTCCAGTTCACCCTTACCTTGCTCTGGAGAGCTGTCTGCTCCACTCACCCCAAGCTCTGGCACTCTCTGTGTTCCCAACTGACTCAGCCCCAGCTGTAGGGGCTCAGTGGAGTAGTTGTTCTCACCTGCACCCAGGGCACATTTGAGCCCTTGTCTTCCCTCCCCACCCCACCTCCCTCCCAGGGAAGGAGCTAAGTAGTTTCACCTGCAAAGAGGGACAACCAGCTATGACCCTGCTTGAATCTCCACTTCCTACTGGGGAGCTTGGACATAGCCATAATCTGATGCAAAAATCCATCTTTCCCCAAATGGCATGGAAAAGTGGGGTTTGGCAGCTGCTGGCCCCACAGGTGATTCCTGACAGTTCCAGCTCCCCACTGGCTCAAACATGCAGAATTGGCAGGTCCCCGAGGCTGACACTGCTCCCCAAAATACCCCACCTGCTTCCTCCAGGGATGTCACGAGGGTATAAGGGGTGGGGGTTGTCAAGCAGCCACCCTCAGTGGCTTATTATGTGGACAGATTTCTTTCCCCTTTTTACCCACGACTAAGCTCAGTGCAGATTCTCCGGGGTACCGGAGGGTACTGGGGGCGGGGGGGCACCGGGCGGCCGCTCCATCTCGAGCAGATTTACAGCAGCCTTCCCAGCCCCCTTGGCTGTCGGGGAGCCGCAGGGGTCCGGGGGGCACGGGAGGGGGGTTGCTGTGGAAACAGCACGCCCCGGTCAGCCGATATCGAGCCCCCCTCGCCCCCCACCCCGCGGCCGCCACTGCCGACGTGCGGGGCCGCGGGTGCAGCTCCGGGGCTGGGATCGGCAGCGCTGGGCTCTGCGAGGGGCAGGGGAACAGGAGGAAAGGAGTTTTATCAAAAAGACAACCTGATGCAGGATACAAGACATGGGAGTTTGTGTTTGGCTGTTTTGGGTTTTTTTTGTTTGTTTGTTTTTTTCCCTGAGGAACATAAAATCACAGTTTTCCCGACCAAAACCAAAGTCTGTCCCCAAGACGCCGCTATTTTGCCGTTTGGCACCACTTTCACCGTGGGGCTGAATCAGAGCTGGTCACCCCAAAGCCCAGCTCATCCTCAAGCTGCAGTGGTTTTTGGGTAGGAAATAAGTCATTTATCTGGTTACAAGACTCACCGACACTCAAATCAAATTTTGTGTGTTTTGGGAAGCTGGTCTCCTCCACAGAAAACAGAAGAAAAAGTGGAATTTTGGTGGGTAAGCTTAATCCAGGTCCCTGTCAGTTAAG